TATATATTTTACTAATTATAATTAGTAAAAAATTTAAGCATTATATTATTTTTGATAACTATTATATTTAATTAATATATTTTTTTAATAGTATTTATTTATAATATTTATTTTTATATTTATTTAATTATTAATAATTAATAATTATATTTTAAAAATATTACTTATATTAATTATATAATATTAATAATTTATATAATTTTAAATTATTTATTTAAAAATATTCTTTTTATTTTATATTTATAATAATATTATAAAAATAAATTAAAATTATTTACTTTTAATTTATATTTTATATAATATATTATTAAACTTTAATATATAATAGATATATTTTATAAATTATATTTATATAATAATATTATTATTAATAAAAGTTTTTTAAATTATATTAAAATTATTTTATTTAAAAATAATATATTATATTATATAATAATTATTAAAATAATTAATATTATAATATTATTTAAAATATTTTTAATTATATTTAAATAATATTTATATTATATAAGAGATATTTTATTAAGAAAATATTAAAATAAGTATTATATAATATTAATAATATTAATTATAAAACTATATAATTATAAAAATAATAAAAAAAATTAATTTTAATAAAATTATTATAAATAAATAATGTTTATAATTAAAATATTATTTATAATAAGATTAATCTATAAAAATCTTTTTTTAATTATAATTTAAAATAACTTTATTTAATATATATTAATATTAAGTAATTAATATATTAAATTTTTTTAGAATTAATTATTAATTATATATATATATATAATATAAATTATAAGATAATTATAATTAATTCTTGAATAATTTTGAATAGTTTAAATAAAAATTTATTAATAATTTAATTATATAGATATTAAATAAATATATTTAAACTGATTTAGAAATCAATCTTAATAATAATATATATATTCTTATTATTATTATTAATATAAATATTAAAACTATATTATATATAAAGTATTATAATTATTATTATTTAATAAAATTTATTAATTTTCTATAAGTAAATTTTGTATTTTATTTCATATAAAATAAATAACTTTTCTAAAAACTCTTATTTATAATAAAAAATTTAAAATATAAATAATAATAAAATATATTTATAATTATATATTACTTTTAATTCTTATATTTATAATAATTTTTAAATTTATTATATTATTATATAAGTAATAATTTTATTATAGCTAATAATTTATAATTTAATTTGAATTTTTATTATAAAATAAAGAATATTATTATAAAAATATTATATATTTATTTATTATAAAATTTGCTAAAAATTTTAAATTAACTTCTAACTATTATAATTTTAATTTTGAATATTACTATTCTAATAAATATAAATTATAATTCAGATACTTAATTTCTTTAATTTAATACTAATTATACTGACAGATTTATAAATTTATATAAATATTATATTTTTATAATAAATATATTTTTATCTATAATTTATATAAAATATATACATTTATTAAGCACAAAATAGAATAAAATCATCTATTAATTTATACTAATATATACTATAATTTTCTATTTACTAGTTACTAACATATAATAATTATCTTTTTTTATTATCAAAAAACTAGATCTTGAAATCTGAACAAGCTTTTGGCTAAATCTTATTATAATTCTGCAAAAATTTCTTAAATAAATTATTTTTATTTTTATTTTTTTAAATAATATAATATCTATTTTTATAAAATACTTAGATTTTAATTATTTACTTTTCAATTATTCATATAAAGGCTCTTTTTGAAAAAATTATTATAATATTATATATAATATGCATTTTTTATGATTTTAATAAAGTCCAGATCTCAGTTTATATATGGTTGTTTTCAAGTGAAGGCATGAAAAGAGATGATATAACAATAGCTGAACATGTTGCAAAGGTTTTTCATTTACTAATAAAAGAGAAAAAAATATATTTTTGAGAAGATAGTTCTTAGATGCATCACTCTTATGTCAAATCGCATTCAAATTAGTATTGATGCAGAAAGAAAGGCATGTTGGATGCAAATATTTTAGCCTGTTTATAAGCATTCTAGAAACAAATTTATATATATTAATATGATTATTATTCTAGATTTTATTTATTTTTAAAAACTATCTGCCATTACATTCCATGCAGATCGTATATCAAAAACTTAATTTATATTTTTTATCATTGCTCGAATTAATCATATATCTGAAAAGTAAATACCTTATATATGAATTTATTTAAAAAAAATAATTGTCAAAATTGTTAAATTCATCATGATTAAATTGATACAAGTCAACCTTTCCTACAATGACATTTTGATAATTTTATTTTTAAATTAAAAAAAAAATGGCTAAGATGGTTCACCTCTCGATAATGATATTATTAATGATTCCCTATTACATGTAATAGCAAATCGTAATTTTTTAATTAATTTCCAGAAATTGTTGAACCTTCGAATACACAAAATATAAGCGCCTGAAAAGTAATTATGAATTTGTGTAATAAATCTCATATTATCATAAAAATCTTTTATAATTATTACAGAAATTTATATTAAAACAATCTTATAGTCATCAAAGTATTTTTCACATAGATATATTTAATAGCTTTCAAAAAAAATTTTATTAAAATATTTCTTTATATCTTAATAAATGTAATTTAATCATTTTTACTCTTTAAAATATTTGAAACTCATCTTTTTTTTCTGTATACATTTCAAATATGAATTACTGTAACTTTTTCAATACTAATTAGAAATAGAATTAAGACTAGAATTATGTAAATTATATTTAATATAAAATTTTACAAGGAGCATTTTTTGTTAGAACATAGACAATTTTATAGATAATTTATTTTTGAATGTTTGCATTACTTTTACGATTTGATTGGTTAAGAGGATATCGAATGATTGCTCCCGGAGCCAGATCAAAAGCCTCTTTTTACACGTGATTGGAAAACTTTTTGGAGAGAACTCGAATCAATGAACTTTTGATGGATATTTGTGTTAGCAATTTAAAATGTATTTAGATAATGTATATATTATATATATATATATATACATATGATTTAAAATCAAAAGGAAGACGAAATCTTAAAAAAAAGTGATTAAAGTTGGTCCTATGAATATACTGTATATGCTAAAATTACTATAAATTCCCAACTTAAATTCCAAAATGCTCGATAGCATTTAATTGCGAGTTTCCTTTTCGCGTTGTACCCAATCGTCGATAGCTTGCAAGACGGCAGGATCATATGACGTTTGTTGTCCTCTCAAATATTTACCTATACGTACTTTCAGATTATCCGAACTCACCCCTAAACTGGTACCATTTAGTTCTTCGCCCATCAATCGTTTCAATTCTTCGCATATAGTGGTATGGCTCAATCTACCATTTTCAGTTTTTTCTTGTCGTTTGTGAAAGTAAATAATAAATTCGTCCATTAGTTTAATTCGCTCTTCTAAAGTCCAAACGCGGCCATCTTGACCTCTGACGACGGCTCTGTGAGTAGGCACAAATCGTTTTTTTTGTGGTTGAGATTGTTCCGCTTGAGATGAACCATCTTGACCTGTGACGATGACTCTGGAAATAGGCACAAATGTATTTTGTTGATCATTATTGGTGGAATTTTGAGATGCGGACGGAGATTGATGTTCCACTTCAGGAGATTGTGGTAATCTCAGACTTATATTTGGTATTCGAATTTCTGTTGGAGATAACGAAGGAGATGCTACATTTTGATGATGAGACTGAGTTGAAGAAGATAAAAAGCTGCCAATTATTTCGGGTGAGGAAGTTCGCGGAGTTGGTTTTTTATCAACTATCGTGAGAGATCTTGATATTTCATCGAGAAACTTAACTGTTGATTCAACTTTTATTAGAGGAACTGGGTCTGGAGAATTAGAACGAGTTGCTAGTTGCCCCGTCGGGACAGTTCTTGAAGGTAAAGAATCTGGTCTATATAATATAAATATAAAATTTAAAGCTTGCGCGAAATTAATGAGTCACATAAAACCAGACATTTCTCTTACACATTTATCGTCGACGTTGAAGACACTGTCGGTGATGACAATCTTGATGACGGATCTTGATGGTTTGCAGTGGATGGAGAAAAAGAAATTTTTTGTAAATCTTCAAGTGCCCATTGAAAAGTATCCAGACTTCTTGACACTTTGTAGCTGGCTTCCGCAAACTTTATGATAGTATTTAAAACGATTTCATCAATCATTAGAAAATAAAATTTTGCGTATTCTCTTTGATTTTTAACTTACCGCATTGAATTTTTGCCGCATTTGCATGATGCTGCTGCTGTTGTAATTATTAATGATATTGTTATAGTTGTTGTTGTTATTCATATTGATTTGGTTATCAGAGTAGTTATTGTTATTATTGTTGGCGCTAGAAGGAATAGCAAGTGAAATCGAAGGAATTTGTGGAATAGGAAAAGTTCTCAATGAACGTTTTGTTCTTGATTCTCCGTTAATATCAGTATTATTGTTATAATGGTGAAGCGGTTCTTCGGGTCCAGAATCTTGTCGTTTTATTGGTGAACCGTTGACACTATTTTCATTATAATGTGTAAGCGTATTATTATTATTGGGGTTGGCCTCACTCATTGTGTAAATTTTACTATGAGGGTCAGAAATCCGTGTGTGTGATATCTGGCAATATATGTGGGAATGTGAACCCACAATCCCACAATCGATTGTTCCTTCACGTGATTTTTCCTGCCCCTGACGATCTGTCATACGATGATCGTTATCCGGCGGCGGGATGTTCTGTTATATTACACGCATATCTAAAAAATATATACATGTATGTATTATCTTACCACGTTTTCAATAAATCTAAAATCTAACGCTAGACATATAATAAACTGGAAAAAAAGAAGGAAATGGTTATTAACGGTCGCTCAGATACTAAAAACGCCTCAATTAAACCACTTACCTGACTGAAACTAAGCTGAAATGTGAACAGCAACGGCAACAACAACAGATGAATCTTTGTGATTACGAAATAGATATGTCATAATTAGGGTGAGTTACAGTCCCCGGCAAAAGTAGTGGCGCGTAACGTTTTCGTCTATATTTTAATAATGAAGTATCCAAAACTCACGAAAGTTTGTA